GTGTTGTCTTCAGATCACTGTCTAGATGTGCTTGCTCCACCCTCCCACACGTGTGACGCAGAAACCACCCTTAGCATTTTAGTCTCACTTTTCCTTTATGCTTAAGACTCTTTTCATTTCAGAGTTACTTTACCACTGCTGACTAAAACTGCTTCTAGTGTCTACCAGAACCCTATGAGATTTGTCTATTAAGCGTACTCTGTACCCCATTTTTATTGGACTATTTGTTCTTTTGATGACCAATTTCTTGAGTTCTTTGTATATTTTGGAGATCAGCCCTCTGTCTTATGTGAGGTTGGTGAAGATCCTTCCCATTTTGTAGGCTGTTGTTTTGTCCTGTTGACTGTATCCTTTGCTTTACAGAAGCTTCTCAGTTTCAGGAGGTCCCATTTATCAATAGTTGCTCTCAGTGTCTGTGCTGCTGGGGTTATATTTAGAAAGTCTTCTGTGACATAGCACTCAAGTGTACTTCCCACTTTGTCTTCTATGAGGTTCAGTGTAGTTGGTATTATGTTGAGGCCTTTGATCTATTTGGACTTGAGTTTTGTGCATGGTGATAGATATGGGTCTATTGGCATTCTTCTACATGTCGATATCTAGTGTTATGCAGCACCATTTACTGAATATCCTTTTTCCCCCATTTTATATTTCTAGCTTCTTTGTCAAAAGTCAGGTATTCGTAGGTGTGTAGAGTGGTATCTGAGTCTTCAATTCAGGTCCATTGTTCCTCCTGTCTGTTTTTATGCAAATACCAGGCTGTTTTTAGTACTGTAGCTCTGTAGTAGAGTTTGAAGTCAGGGATTGTGATGATTCCAGAAGTTTCTTTATTGTACAGGATTGTTTTGACTATCTGGGTTTTTTGCTTTTCCATATGAAGTTGAGTATTGTTCTTTCAAGGTCTGTGAAGAATTTTACTTGGATTTTGATGGGCATTGCATTGAATTTATAGATAGCTTTTTGTAAGATTGTCACTTTTACTATGTTAATTCCACCTACCCAAGAGCATGGAAGATCTTTCCATTTTCTGGTCTTTCTTGAAAGATTTAAAGTTTTTGTAATACAGATCTTCCACTTGTTTGGTTAGAGTTAATCAAAGATATTTTATATTATTTGAGGCTATTGTGAACCATGATGTTTCTCAGATTTATTTCTCAGTCCATTTTTTTTTCTCTGTGTACAGGTGGGCTACTGGTTTTTTAAAGTTAATCTGTATCCTGCTACATTACTGAAGGTGCTTATGAGTTATCAAAGTCCCTTGGTAGATTTTGGGAGGGTCACATGTGTAAACTATCATATCATCAGCAAATAGTGAGTTTGACTTCTTTTTTGATTTGTGTCCCCTTGATCTCCTTTTGTTGTCTTATTACTCTAGCTAGAACCTCATGAACTATGTTGCATAGATATGGAGAGAGTGGACAACCTTGTCTTGTTCCTGATTTTAGTGGGATTGCTTTGAGTTTCTCTCCATTTAGTTTGATGTTGGTTGTTGGCTTGCTGTATGTAGCCTTTATTATGTTTAGTTATGCAACTTGTATCCCTGCTTGCTCCAAGATATTTATCATGAAGGGATGTTGCATTTTGTCGAAGGTTTTTTCACCATCTAATGATATGATCATGTGTTTTTGTTTGTTTGTTTATATGGCAGATTTTACTGGCAGGTTTTCTTTTTTAATTTATTATTTCTTTATTAATTAATTAAAGATTTCTGTCTCACC